GTCAAAGGAGTGACGGCCTTTGAGCATGAGCCTGTATAGTACTTAATTTGGAAGGTAAAATCACTTTAAAATTTAGGTAGTAGACTAAAAAAACGAGTGTTGAATCACTTCCTGATTATGCCTTCTTTTGATTTCTCCACCCCCATTGCTCCCCATCATTAGCAGGGATAACAGAAAATTCATTTAGGCAACCAATATCGAGGGTCTGCCTCAGGACCGCTCAGACCTGTGGTGCCAGGAGACAAAGATGCTCATAGCAGGGCCCTCATCCTAGTCCCCGGGGGATATGGACACAAATAATGAACCCAGTGTGTTGGAAAGGGGCCACCGTGGAGGAGGGGGAGGGAGCAAGATGGTGCTGAGGTGGGGAGCATGCTGAGTGCAGGCTCAGGGAAGAATCCAGCAATACCAACTTAACCCTTAACTTCCCGCTGGGAACTAGGTCAGTGTGGTATATGCATTGCCCCATATCATTTTAAGACGATCTTGTTATAGAGTAAGCATTGCCCCTATGTTTGGTTTGGTCAAAACTGAGCTGCAGAGAGCTCTTAAATTATTTGCTTGGGGCTACCTAACCATTAAGTGGCAGAGCCAAGATGCGAATTTGGACCTGATTCTAAGTCCTGCGTTTTCCCACCCATTTTTGTGTGTATATATGTGGTAAAGGGTTTTGGATGCTTGGAAGAAAGGGCATGAGAGGTCTTGGTGTTTTGGCATTTTTGTGGATAGAAGTGCTTGGGCCAAGGGATGGGGGGGCGGGGCTGGAGGGTTCAGCACGTGGCGGGGGTCAGTTGTGCAAGAGAGGGTTCTAACGGTTAAGGCTAGCTCAACTTTCATTTTTTTAAGTTGAGATAAAATCCACATAACACTCACCATTTTATAGTGTACAATGCAGTGGCATTTAGTACATTCACAGTGACCTCTGTCTAGGTCCAGATATTTTCATCACCCCCAAGGAGGGCCCTGTACCCGTTAGGTAGTTACTCTCCCGTTCCCGGCCCCCATCATCCCCTGTCAATCACTAATCTGTTTTGTGTCTAGGATTGACCCATTCTGGATATTTTGTGTAAATGGAATCATACTCTTTTATTTATTTTTTATTTTTCTTATCTTTTATTTTTCAAATTTTATTTAAATTCAATTAATTAACATATAGTGTATTATTAGTGTCAGGTAGAGTTCAGTGATTCATCAGTTGCATGTAACACCCAGGGCTCATTACATTGTGTGCCCTCCTTAATGCCCATCCCCCGGTTACCCCATCCCCCCACCCACCTCCCCTCCAGCAACCCTCAGCTTGTTCTCTATAGTTAAGAGTCTCTTATGGTTTGTCTCCCTCTCTGATTTCGTTTTATTTTTCCCTCCTTTCCCTTATGATCCTCTGTTTTGTTTCCTAAATTCCACGTATGAGTGAGATCATATGATAATTGTCTTTCTCTGATCGGCTTATTTCGCTCAGCATGATACCCCCTAATTCCATCCACGTCATTGCAAATGGCAAGATTTCATTTTTTTTTTTTGATGGGTGAGTAATATTCCATTGTGTATGTATACACCACATCTTCTTTAATTGGAATCATATCCTATGTGACCTTTTGTGTCTGGCTTTTCCCACTTTGCATAATTAATGTTTTTGAGGCTCCCTTAAATTGTAGTATGTACCCAGCACTCCACTCCTTTTCATGGCTGAAAAGTACTCCATTGAGTGGAATATTTTGTTTCTCCATTCACCTGTTAATGAACATTTGGGCTGTTCCCACTTTTTGTCAACTAGGAACAAGATCAACATCCATTTTTTAAAAATTAACTCAGGTCATCCATTCCTTCACTCGCCCCTCTGCAGGGATGGACATTGGGGTCAGTTATGGGGCTGAGACGCCCTGGGCAGTGTGTCAAGAAGAGAGCCAGGGCAGGATCAACCTTGGTCATGGGAAGTGAGGAAGAGACACAACTTCTCACATGTCAGCTTGTCTGACAATCACTCTGTTCCACCTTCAGGTTTCTGGGCCCTGCAGTAGGCCTCCCAAACTAGCCAGACAGAAGGGAGATACTCGGTCCTCTTTTTAAAAAAAATGTATTTCCTTCTTAGCTCTTTTCGCAGAAATTGTCATTGTTATTGAAATGCTTGCTCCCTTGAGCTTCTCCGATTATTTAGCAAAAATTTGGGTCGCTTTGGTCTTAGCAACACCTGGCTTGGAGAATGGGCTTCACACAAGCTTTCCCATAGTGCATTTGATTGATTGGGCTTTACTTTTTTTTTTTAAAGATTTTATTTATTTAATTGACGGAGAGAGAGAGAGAGACAGCGTGAGAGGGAACACAAGCAGGGGGAGTGGGAAAGGGAGAAGCAGGCTTCCTGCCGAGCAGGGAGCCCGATGCGGGGCCCGATCCCAGGACCCTGGGATCATGACCTGAGCCGAAGGCAGTCGCTTAACCAACTGAGCCACCCAGGCGCCCCAAGGGCTTTACTTTTTATTTTGGCAATAAAGAGGCAAGAAAAGGGCTTTGGGGGAACAGTGAGGCTCCTGCCATGTGCCCTAAAACCTGATTATGCATTCCTGTTCTAGGCAAAGGTGGGGAGAGGAAGGTGCTCGTTGTCTGCTCCTCATGCTTCTATCCCATGTCTTCAAGGCTGGTGCTGCTAGACTAGTTTTTGCCTTTATAAGAAGCGTTGTAGCGCAGTAGGAGGGCTTTGGGTATCTGTCGTCTGGGGTCATAAAGGGACTGGCTGGCAAGGACCTCCCTGTGGAGCTCATTACCTGAAGTCTTGGGCCCACTTCTCACCACCTTATCCTCCATAGCCTATCCCCTCCAGGCCCTGCTTCTTAGGAGTAAATGAGGGTTAATCAGATGCGTGACTTCCTGCTACTGTATCAGCTAGTTAATGTCCCTACATCCAGATCAAAAAATGCTTAACATTTAAAGGAGCTTTGTTAGTATTGAGAGTTTCAAGCCAGCCACCTACGTGGGGGGCAATTATTAAATAAGGCTTAATATACAATCCAGCAATTGTACTCCTTGGTATTTACCCAAATGAGCTGAAGAGTTATGTCTACACAAAAACCTGCACACACATGCTGATAGTAGCTTTATTCATTATTCATAATTGCCGAAACTTGAAAGCAACCAAGATATCCTTCCGTAGGTGAATGAGGACAAACAAAATGTGGGCCATCCAGACAATGGAATATTATTCAGGGCTAAAAAGAAATGAGCTATCCAAGCCATGGAAAGACATGGAGGAATCTTAAAAGCATATCACTGAGTGAAAGAAGCCAATCTGAAAAGGCTATGGACTGTGTGATCTCAACTGTATGGCATTCTGGAAAAGGCAAAAGACTATGGAGACTGTAAAGAGATCAGTGGTTGCCAAGGGTTGTGGGGAGGTAGGGATGAATAGGCAGAGTACCCAGGATTTGTAGGGCCGTGAAACTACCCTCTAATGATACTGGAATGGCGGGTACCTATCTTTACGTATTTATACAAGCCCATAGGATCTACAGCGCCAAACCTGATCTCTAATGTAAACCATAGACTTCGGATGATAATGGTGTATCAATCTATTGCAACAAATATGCTACTGAGGTGTGGGGTGCCCATACTGGGAATTTGTGCAAGTGTGGGGCACAGGACTTCTCTGTACTTTCTGCTCTATTTTGCTGTGAACTTACAACTGCTCTAAAAAAAAAAAAAAAAATGTAACCTATGCCTCCAAAGGCTATATTAGTTTCTTGTTGCCACTGTAAGAAAATACCACAAATGTAGCAGCTCAAAAGGACATACATATGTGATCTGAAAGTCCTGGAGTTCAGAAGTCCAAAATGGTTCTTCCTGGGTTACAGTCAAGCCTTCCTTCCAGACGCTCTAGGGGACAGTTTGTTTCCTTGCTGTTTCCACTTTCTGGAGGCCACCTGTTGGTTCATGACCTTTCCTCCATGCTTCAGGCCAGCCCGGCAGCATCTTCCAGTCACTTACTGACTGTGACCTCACATCTTCTCTTTGACGGACTCTTCTTGTCTTCTCCTAAGAACCCTGGGATCACATTGGCTCCGCCCAGATCATCCAGGATAAGCTCCCCATCTCAAGGTCCTTAACTTCATCACAGCTGTAGAGTCCTTTTTGCCACGTAAGGGGGACATAGTTCCAGGTTTTGGGGATCAGGATGTGGCTGTCTTTGGGGGGAGGTCATCATTTTGTCTCCCACATACACCCTCTAAATAGCTTTTCTTTGGGCGCTTTTGTCACTTCGGACAGGCAACCTGGTTCTATTTCACGATTGTTCTTTGGTCATTTTTTCCAGTTTATGTAGGAGGTCAGGAGTCTGGTGAGGAAAAGAAATGAAGGAAATCCAGTTGGGTCCTGGATTTCACTGGAAGGATAGAGAACGGTGATGCTCGAGGAGGAGCCCATCTGAATCATCCAGCATCCTCTTCTCTTTCAAGCATCCCAGCATCCCAGCACCCCTCCGTTGAGAGGCACATCTCTTCCGTTCTACCTCCTGTCACTTGTCCATGGGAACATTTTGTATTTCTCATCTGCAGGGGCAAGGAAAAAGTTGGCGTCCAGGGATGCAGAGGGATGGAAGGGGGCTTGGGCAGAAGAGGTTCAACTTTGTGTGGAAGAGGTGGATGGGGAGCTGACCTGAGGAAGTGCCCCCCCTGCACACTCCCTTCCCCGCCGTGGCATCAACAAGGATGGGATGCAGGGAGGGATTGGAGGATGAGATGAGTGGCCTTCCTGGATGGTGCCGCCTTAGGGTCGCTGATGGTGGGGCTGTTTGTGAGGCCCTGGAATGTGCACACAGAGAGGTTGCTGGACAGGTGTGGGCAAGTCCTCCTCGGTGCAGAGTTTACCATGAACAGCAGCTCCCAAGGGCTCTTGAGTTCTAAAGCCAGTGAGACAAGAGTCTGGGAAAGGGACGGGTTAGGCTGTGGCACGGAGAAAGAGCCCACAAGCTTCCTCGGATGATCTCATGGAGCTGAACTGATGAGGCATTTTCTTTCTGGGAGTTTCTGAGGTAAATACAATCTTTCCGTGGGTGGCACTAAGACTTTTGCCGGGAGAATGGGGCCCACAGCAATGACTGTGTGTGGTTGATGGTTGGCAGAAGGAAAATTACTTTCTGCATGGATTTGTTCTTTATTGTTGCTTTTGTAATACCTGGTTCTGTCACTCCAAATGTTATTTTGGAGACAGGTGATGCAGATGTTTTTTTTTGTTGCTGTTGTTTTTTAAAGCAGGGCATAATTAAATCATTTTTAGAAACCCATTCAACATTTTACATGTCAGTGATGACTGTCATATGGTGACGATGGGTAGTGGGTGTACTCTTGCCAAGAAGATGTCACAGCATCTTTAAGAGTAAACAGTCGTGGATGAGCGTTTAATTCAGTAAACACTGCAGAAGTTTTATCCAATTGACCTCACTGAGATTTGGGTTCAGCTTCATTTTTCTCTTCCCTTTCATGGTTCTGCCCTTATTCAGGTGATTATGGTGCTATTTGCTCAGGTCTGTGAATCTGCCATTTATTGGCGACGTGACCTCCTGCACATTATCTTATTACTTCTAGATTCAATTTCATTATCTGTGGATAGCAACAGAAAACAGCATCTGCCTCCCAGGGTTGTGGCAATGATAAAAGAAGATATCAAAGATCTATTTCCCTGGACATAGTAGGTGATCAATAAATATTAGTTCCCCTTCTTTCCTTTTAGAGATAACAAAGTTGGCAAAGCCAAGCTGACATTGATCAGCGGTTGTCTCACGTATCCTAGAGGAAAGATACCTTCTTTGGTGCTCCAGAGAGCAGACGTAGAGCTAACAGGTAAAAATAGAAGGGAGACAGATGTGTGTGACGCATGTCTACTGTGACAACCAAAAATGTCTCCACACATTGCCAAACATCCCCCAGAGGGTAGAGTGGCCAGCGGTTGAGACCCACTGAGTTAGACGCTAGATGAGAGCAAACTGGACTCCATCCTCCCAAGGTCACCTCCATCCCGTGCCATATTGGGTTCCTGTGACATTCTGGTGGTGGCTTTGTGGTTTGAGAGAGTACTGAATGTTGAAGACAAAAGGCCTAACACTTGTGTAGGGTTCGGTTTGGGCCACAGAGAGCAACTGAAGTGGGCACTTGGAAGGCCTTTTGGGGTTGTGGTTGGTTTAATGGCTTGTTCACTGTGGTTTTGCAGGTCATGTTAGCAGCTTCCTATTGGTCTCTCCTGGCCCCGGCCGTTGAGATGGCCACGTCCTCCGGGGGCTTTGGTGCCTTTGCCTTCTTCCCCGTGGCCATTGGCTTCACCCTCGGAGCTGCTTTTGTCTACCTGGCTGACCTCCTGATGCCTCACCTGGTGAGTACCACTCTTCAGACTTGACATACCCACTCGTGGCTCTGTTGAGTAGCCAGTGATATAGAAATAGATATTTCAAGCCATTTAGGGCTTTTACCTAGAAATTTACCGTGAATTGGGACTTTTTTTTTGTCCTAAAAGAAAATAAGCTCTTGGTAATATGACTAATCATCCCCTTAGTTACGTTTTGCTAAGTTCAGATTTTAAATGTCAGATTTCATTATAAATAGAGAGCTCGGCTGACGTTGTACCGTGTGGCACTGTGTCTGAGCGGACCTAGCAACTGGGAGAAGTGAGTGATTATGATCATGGTCTTGACCCTTAGGAGCCTACACTGTCATCACGAAGATGATGACACACCCAACTATAGCATAAGACCATTGACAAAGCGTCACATCGGCAAGGGCTTATTAACAGGAGGATGAGGTGGGGACACTGGGCAGCAGAGCCCTGAGTTCAAGTTCACTTCTGCTGTTGCCTCGTTGTATGCCCCTTGGCTCCAGTCTTCCTCCCTATAGCTTGAGGATAACTCCCTTTAGGGGCTGCAAAGTAAAAATTTAAAAATCTAACAAGGCACCAGAATTGGGGGCAAATCAGAGATTTTAGGCTTTTTTGCTGAAATGGGGCTGGTGGGTTAGGTTTGGAGAATGACCGGGTGCTTACTTGTCCACGTGGAAGCATGATACGAACCACAGCCTGAAATCTGGCCATGAGATCGTAACCGAATGCCATTGGCTAAAATCAGTAGTGTGCATATGCTAGGTGTAGAGAAGGGTCAGTGTCTGTAAGAACCCAGTACAGAAACACAGAACCTTGCCCAACCAGCCCTAGAGGTAGGCAGAAGTCCTCTGTGACATCTGAGCTGGTGCTTGAATTCTCTGTTCACCCAGAAAGAGAAGAGGCACAAGAAGGATGCTGTAGGGGAGAATGGGGTTGGAAGTCATTTCTTCTGTTGGACTGTGACAAGCTAGAATCAGGTCAGGCTCACTGGAGTCTCTGGACATCTAGCCCAGGACGTAGTCTGACATTCTCTTCCCCGCCTACCTGCCTTCTTTGCTGCTGTAAATTCCTGATGAAAGAGAAGGAAGGGTCCTTGGGAACTTGTCCTTGGGGCCAATGAGAAACTGATTCCTCATGTCACAGAAGGACCAGCCTCTGGACCAGACAGCTGGATGTGACGGTTGGATGGAGAGTCACAACATTGTCTCGGTGGAAAGACCATGCGTCATTTTTTTCATCACAAGCTTGAATGTCAGTGTCAGTTTCTGGCCCCTGAACCCTTGGCTTCCTTGCCATTGATTATATCTGCATGATATGAACTTCGAGAGGTCCTCTGTGTGGGCTGCCATATTCTGCTCTTAAATCCACCCTGGTCATGTGTGAACTTACCGTTGGGATATATTCTACTTGCCCTGGCAGGAAGATCTTACAGCCGATGGCCTTAACTCTCGGAACAGAAGACCAGGGACTGGCTCAGCGGCTCTGTGTAGCCCCCGTTGGGTCTCATTCTGCCCTTCCTACCTGGGCCCATCTGGGCTTCTAAGACTGTATCTCGTGGAGGGCTCTTTGCAATCATGATGGGTCACTGCTCACCAGTACTGGGGGTGGGGACGGGGACAGGTATATTTGATCAGCTGTCTGAATGTGGGGACTTTCTCTGGGCAGTGTAAATAGTCATTGGCCAATTTGTGCTGGGCAGCATATTGTTTTAACCTTTTGCTTGGTGTTTGTTCTAATATATGCTTTGAATATGGAGAAGATCCCAAGGGAAAGTCGTGGACAGACTGCACAGAAAATTAGGAATGGCTTGGGAGTGGTGGCTGAGCATCCAGGGAGAGACTTTGAAGGGGCTTGAGTACGGACGTAATAACCATGAATGCCCAGAACCTCGCTAATTGGCAGAAAGATCAGCCTGACAGTAAACATCTGTTCTAGGACATTTGAAAAGAAATTAATTTTTGCTGTTGATGTGAGAAGGGGAATTTGTTCTGGAAGGTCTATAAACAGAAAAGAATTATTTATAAGTGCTACAGTCACTGAATACAGATGTTGCCATTGAGAGTCACAAACTCAGGCCACCGTCGCTCTGAGACAGCATGAGGTTCCCCTAGGTTTCACTCTTAATGTGCTTTCCAAACCCAGAAAGGGCAGCAGCGTGGATCTATCGAAGGTGCTTCGTGGAGTGTGAGTTAATGGGTTTTGATCTTGCATCCATGTGGTTATCCGACACTGACTGAGCGCCCACGGGGAAGGTAGCCTTCCCAGGCAGCTAGAAGCCGGTTTGAGAACCCAGACTCTTGGGTTTGTGGGAAGGAGATGGTTAACCACCAACTCTGGTCTCCCAACTCTATTTCTGTTTGTTCAGCTTTTCAGATTTATCTGTCCCCCTGTTGGAGCCGAAGCAAAATACTGCTCATGAAAAGGGTTTTACTCATAACAGCCTGTCAGGTTGAACCCGTTGCAGCTTTGTTAACTTTAGATACATCAAATTGCTCTCTGAAATGGGTATTTGTTTTCGTTTCTTTATCTGCGAATAAAGTAGAGAAGGCTCAGGCAGTAACCATTAATGGGAAATGAGCTTACGGAGATTTATGGAGATTTTGCCAAATGGTATCTTAATGGGAGAGGGACAGAGGCAGGGGGTAGGCATGGAGGTAGCCAGCTGCTGGACCCCAGGAAGAGGGCTGCCAAGAGGGGGCTGAAGGAGAATGTGACTGGGGCCAGCCTGAGCCCAGGCTTTCCCTCCAGAGGCCCTAGGGAGAGACGGAATGGATAGTAAATAGCTGTTTGGAGACATTGACATTTTTATGATCTGTGCAGTTCTGCTTCTGTATGAAGTTAAGGATGACAGTAGGTGGGTGGCCTTTACCTTGAGTTTAAAGCAGTATTATTTCCTATTGGTGGGTAGAAAGATAGGGTTGGGAAGGACGGTAGGGTGTGTGTTTCCAAGGCCTCCTGTCTTTCTTTTTAATCGTATTAGTATTACAACGATATAACACAAAAATCTCATCATAAAAACTAAAAAAAAGAAAGAAAAATTATGTGAAGGTCCCTTCCTGCTATAGACTTATGCCCCCTCAAATTCATATGGTGAAATCCTAACCCTCAATGTGATGGTATTAGGAGGTGGGGCCTTCCAGAGGTGATCAAGTCATGGGTGTGGTGCCCTTATGATGAGATTAGTGCCCTATAAAGAGGTCCCCAAGAGCTCCCTGTTCCTTCTGCCATGTGAGGACACACGGTGACACATGGATGCTGTCTGTGAACAACAAACCAAACACGATTCTGCCAGCCCTTTGATATTAGCCTTCCAGCCTCCAGAACTGTGAGAAATACATTTCTGTTGTCCATAAGCCACTCGGTCTATAGTAATTTTTTAATTAAAAAAAATTTATTTATATATTTTTTTCAAAAGATTTTATTTATTTACTTAAGAGAGAGAGAAATCAAGAGACAGAGCACAAGTGGGGCGGGAGGGGCAGAGGGAGAGGGAGAAGCAGACTCACCACTGAGCAGGGAGTCCTACGCGGGGCTCGATCCCAGCATCCAGCATCATGACCTGAGCCGAAGGCAGATGCTTAACTGACTGAGCCACCCAGGTGCTCCTGATTTTAATAGATTTTATTTTTTTTAGTAATCTCTACACCCCACATGGGGCTCGAACCCACAACCCCAAGATCAAGAGTCGCACCCTCCACCGACTGAGCCAGCCAGGCGCCCCCTAGAGTAATTTTTTATAGCAACCCTGAAGGGACTTAAGACACTTCCATCTTCCTGTCCTGTCCCCAGACCAACCATTGTTATCAATTTAGTGGGTATCCTTCTAGATTTTTTCTCTTTTCTTTAAGAAAATGAACTATGTTGTGTCTTTTAAACACTGAAATGTAAACACTTTCCCCATTTGCTTGTATTACTCGAGCGTGCTTTAAATCCACTGTATAGTGATCCAAGCTCTGCCTCATTTCGAGCTCCTGTCTCTTGTGTGCGCACGTGCAATGGGTTTTCTTTTTTTTTCTTTTAAAGATTTTATTTATTTATTTGAGAGAGAGAGAGAGAGAGAGCGCACATGAGAGGGGGAGGG